TTTATTTAAATGGCTAAATTTGTGTGGTAAATTTTTTGTTCACCAAATTGATAAACTAAATGTTTAATATCTTGGTTAAACAATCTCATTGATTTATCCTGGCTTGTTGGCCTTACCAACGGAACGTGGTAAAGCATTTTCTGCGAGAAAAGCTTTCATGACGACTGGTTTAAAAAAAATTGTTTAACTGAACAAAAAAGTTTAACTGAACAAGCCATTACACAGTTCATTCGTGAAATCTCCAATTTATTTGGTAGACAATATACACAAAGTATTTTCATTGACCTATCAAAAGCATTTGACACGGTCGATCACAAAATTCTATTTAAAAAACTCAAAATTTACGGAATTAATGGCAAATTAATAAAGTGGTATAAAAGTTACTTGACAATTAGAAAAGAATTTGTTTTCTATGGAGATTATTTTCAAAATGAAAAATTAATTGACATAAAATGTAGTGCTCCACACGGTTCTATTCTAGGCCCACTTTTATTTTTAGTCTATATAAATGATTTAAATAAAGCTTCTAACTTTATGAACATCCTTTTTCCGGACGATACTAATTTATTTCTGTCAAACAGTGACATTTATAAGCTTTTTTCAAATATGACTAAAGAAATCAATCACATCTACAACTGGCTTTAGTGCAACAAGTTAACTTTAAACATTGACAAAACAAAATGGACCCTAGGGTCCATTTTGTTGACAAAACTTACTTTTTTTTATCAACTTTTTGTTATAGCATTTTTCTGTATTAGGCGATAATGTATAAAATAATACTTTAAAATAAAAAAAATATATATATCAATATACAACTGATCTAAAAACTATAAACGTTGAGAGTAGTATAGACATTATAGATATAACTCTGATGACAATAGCGAAGTCTTAACAATAGAGATTAAAACCAGTAACACCAAAAATATACTTTTGAGTTGCTGTTATCGCCCGCACCTAGCATCATAAAAAATTTCAATACATTCTTATTTAATACTATTTTGAGAAACTGTTTAAAGGAAAAAACTTAACTATTTAATTGGAGACATAAATCTAACTTGTTTTGAATATCAAACTAATAACAACATAAAAACATTTTATGACGGTTTATTTCAGAACGGCGCTATTCCATTAATAAACAGACCAACAAAAGTAACAGAAACATCAGCTTCTGTAATAGATAACATAATAACAACTGATATCTTTAACAACTCGCTTAAAATAGGTGTAATAAAAAATGACGTGTCTGATTACTTCCCTATTTTCTTTTCTCTAAATCTTGTTACCGAAATAATACAACAACAAAAACAAATTTTCATCAAACGGTTTTTCAATGAATCAAATATCGAATCATTTAACGATCAACTATCCCTACTTAACTGGAAAAATATCAACTCTACATTAGAAGCAAACGTAGTCTATAACACATTCTACGAAACATATTATGATATCTATGACGCAAATTTCCCGAAAATCAAAATAATTAAATCAAATAAAAGCCTTAAATCACTGAGGATCAATAAAGACCTCAGAGAGTCCTCAAAAATTAAGCAAAAACTTTATATAAAATACTTAAAAACCAAAACAATTGAAAACAAAACTTTATAAAAAATATTTTACTAAACAATTTGAAAATAATAAAAAATATGCAAAAAAAAAAAAAAATACTATTTCAATTTGCTAGAGAAACATAAACTCAATTTAAAACGCACTTGGCAAATTATAAGTGAAATCACGGGCAAACAAAACTTAAAATTGTGTTCTCTACCTAAAGCTATTAAAATTAATGATAAAATAATAGATGATCCTAAAGAAATAGCAAATGAACTAAATAATTTCTTTGTTTCTGTTGGACCTAATCTTTCAAAAAACCTTCCAAGTATGATAAATCCAATCAATAATTATAAATTTCCTCTAACCTCTGGTCTGCCTTTGAACTATTATTTTTAGAATTTGAAAATGCTTTAAAAATGCTTAAGCCCAATAAAGCAATTGGCGCAGATGATTTAAATGGAAACATTGTTATTAAGTCATCGATAGTATAAAGAATACTCTATTTAAAGTTCTTAATTGTTCAATAAGTCAAGGAATTTTTCCGGCCCAAATGAAGGTTGCAAAAGTAACCCCTATATATAAAGGTGGTGAACTAAAAAATGTTGGGAATTATCGTCCAATTTCCGTTTTGTCAGTTTTTTTCAAAATTCTTGAAAGAATTTTATTTGATCGAATTTTTAATCATCTCTCTGATAATAATATTTTACAACAATCAGTACGGTTTCAAAAAAACATAACTCTACAGAACACGCAGTACTTCAACTCACAAGAATTATTACTGACTCCTTCGAAAAATCACAATTTACTTTAGATATTTTTATAGACCTATCTAAAGCTTTTGATACTATTGATCACAGCATTCTATTAAATAAATTAGAACATTACGGCATCACTGGTAAAGTCTTAATGTTATTAAAAAGTTACTTAAATAATCGTAAACAATTCATGCATATTGATACACACTCAACAACTACTGCTTTAGATATATCCTTTGGAGTCCCCCAGGGTTCCATACTTGGACCACTGTTATTTCTAATTTATATTAATGACCTCTATAAAACTTCTAATTTAATGACAATAATGTATGCTGACGATACTAAAGGCGAGTTTCCACTCATCCGTTTTTCAACGGGAACAGGATAGGAAAGGAAAAAATAATCACGTGAGCATGCGTAATAAAAGTTTTTATTTGTCCGAAAGAAAACTGCGCATGCTCACGTGATTATTTTTCCGTTCCCTTTCCTTTTCCCGTAGAAAAACGGATTAGTGGAAACTCACCTTTATCTTTTCTTATCCCGAAATGACATCAATAACTTATTTAATGACATGAATGTAGGATTAAAGAAAATATCTGACTGGTTTAAATCAAATAAGCTTTTACTTAATATTGCAAAAACTAAGTGGATTCTTTTTCATTCAGCTTATAAAAAGCATATACTACCAAGTGAAATGCCGCCGCTTTTCATTGATAAAATTAATATAAAAAGAGTAACTTATACTAAATTTTTAGGTTTTATTGTGGATGAAAATCTTTCATGGAAAAACCACATTGGAAATCTAAATAATAAAATTGCAAAAAGTATTGGTGTTCTATATAAAACAAGAAGCATTTTAAATAAAACAAGAAGCATTTTAAATAAAACAAGGAGCATTTTAAATAAAACAAGAAGCATTTTAAATAAAAATACTTTAATCCAACTATATTACTCATTAATTCACTGCCATATTAACTATGCTAATATTGCCTAGGGTAGTACCAACAAAATTAAGTTAAAGCCTTTGCTTTGTCAACAGAAGCATGTAGCACGTCTTATTAATTTTAAAGATCGTTTTACTCATGCCAGGCCTTTATTATTAAACATGAATATTCTTAATATTTACGAAGCAATTATATTTAACATTCTTTGTTTTATGTTTAAATGCAAAATTAATACTTGTCCTGTTTCTTTTCATAAGTTATATTCAATGAAAGAAAAAAATAAATATATATTAAGAAATAATAATCATATCCAACAACCAATTTTTCAATCAAATATAGGCAAATCTTGCATTCAATACCGTGGAGCCTTTTTATGGAACAAAATAGTTTTAAAACATTTTGATTTTTCGCATAATTGGAATTATTTTTCTTTTAAAAGAAAACTAAAAGAAGTAATTTTTTCAATTGATAACATATTTTTATATTTTTAAATTATTACCTATTTCACAAAATAATTAAGGAATTGTAATCTGAACGACAGTATTTTTTAGATTACATATTATATATTATATATTGACATTACATATATACTGATGAAAACTGATCTAACTTTTCGAGCTTTTGTTTGCTTTTTTTGTTTGTTTGTTTGTTTTTGCATAATATTAAATATTGAGAAATATTATATATATATTCACATATATTATAAAGTATTGTTAAAGCTTGCTTAACATCTAAAGAGTATTATAATATATAAACGCATTTAAAATTTGTTTTAAATATTTGTAAACTTATTTATGTATTTTGACTCTTAATATAGATTGTAAAGGGCTTCATAATAAGATCGTGTGATCTTCTGGAAGTCCTACCAGTAACACATTCAATGTAAACTTACCTTGTACATATTATTCTGGAAAGAAAAAAAAAAAAAAAAAAAAAAGATATGTTTATAAAAAATAAAGGGTACTCAGGCCTGTAGCAACGGGGGGAAGAGGGGGCAGCAGGAAAGGACCTAATTTGTTATCCGTATTTTTGGCAGTTCTTTGAAAATTTTTTTTGACCTACTACTATTTGACTTGCCCAGTAATATTGCTCCGCCCTCTTCCTAATACAATTTTTGTTCCTACGGGCCTGGTACTATATTTGCAGAGATTCTAATTGTTTTATCATTAAGAATCGCTGTAAATGAACAGCTACACTATATATATCAGCATTTATAAATTTATATATACTTTACATATAAATTTATATATTTAAAGTATTTTCAAATACACAAAAAAATTATTACAATAAAGTTACGTCAAAAATGGTAAAAATGTTATAGAAATTCAAAAATCTAGAATAGAATCAAAAATGAAAAAATCATCAATCAAAAAAAAAATTAAAAAGATAAAATTTTGGAAGATAAAAAAAAGATTAAAATATTTAGATAAAAAGAAATATTGTTAATTAAAAAAAAAAGATTTACTTTAATTTCCTTTTGATTAAGTAGTAAATTCAATCTTAAGAAAAATGAAATTTTTAAAAAATTCCTCGTTTGCTTAAAGTTGCAAACGTTATAAAAAGAAATCAGTTAATCTAACATTTAAATAAAACAAAAATTAGTAAAAATCAGAAAAAAACATTAAATAAATTATCTGATATGCATTAAGAACATTCATTTTTATTATAAAAATCCTTGAAGTTAGACGTGCTAGATGCTTCTATCGTTTCATCATTCTCAGCATGATACTTAGCTCACTTTTTCATAAAATATAAACTAAGCTTGCAACAAAAAATGAGTAATTTCCACATAACAGTTATTGAATCATTTGCTTTCCTATGGAAACTGTCATTATGGTTTTGTGTTGCTGATTTAAGTTTGTTTTTTTAATATTTTTAAAACAAGACAAAAAACTCGTTAAATGTAAATAAACTCATTTTCAAGTCCATTTTGTACCTTAGTTTTCAATATTGTATTAAGTAAATGTGCGTCCTTATTTTAGAATCGGAAGCTTTTATAACTGAAAACGATAAATGTAAGTAAACTAATTGCTGAGCCCTTTTTGTTATTTTAGTTTTCAATTTTTTTTATTATATATATCCTATAGTGATCTTTATTAAGGGATTGCCCTAGACTCACATAACAAATTGCGCTCAATGCATTACGCTGATGCGTTACTTTGGAGCAATCAGCTTGAAAAAGCTGCTGAAGATCGAGTTTCTGCATTACTATTTCAAAATCAAAATATGGAAAGTCAATTGGTTGCATCTAAATCTAATAATGAAAACAGTTTTGTATCTAATACCCATGTTGGTGTTTCCAAGGTGATCAAATATTGGTTCGTGTTTTCAAATTATATTTTTATAATATTTAAAAGTCATCTAAGGATTTCGTTTAATCTTACATCTACATTTTACAGGTACAAAAAAGGCGAAAACTACACTTATAACGAAAACGATCACAGCGCCCCATCGTTTACACAAATAATATGGAAGGATACAAAATATGTTGGTTGTGCAGCTAATAGCAATGATCAAAACTATGTTGTCATTTGTTATTACGAGCCTCCTGGAAACAACGATAACATTTTTCAAAGAAATGTTTTTCCACCAATGGCTCCAGTTGTGATTGAAGAATCGGAAGATGAAATTTATCCGTTTTTAACGAAAAAAATTATAAGAAAACGCTATAACCAAAAACAGATTGCGAAATAATACTTATCTGACTGAAACAATTATTTTTAAAAAGAAATTTTTTTTTTTTTTTTAATGCATGCTATATTTTTTCCTTAAGTGTTTTAATTAAAAACCAAAATAAAGTAAAACATATACGCTCACGTAAATAATAATGTTTATGTGATATTACGCTGTATTAAATTACATTTATAATCTTTGGTATAGTAGGATTTTCAATGTCATTTTCTCCCAAATATTTATTAAAAAAGCTAATTTACGATAAACCATTTATTGAGAACAAAAATTATCAGCTTTTTTTTAATACAGGCTCAAATTTATCTGCAAAAACTTCACTGAAGTTAACTAAGTTTGGTTTGTATTTAAAAGTACATAATAATTTTAGCAGGATTTCGAGAGGTTCTAATTTTGTAGCCTATTTCATGATAAGCATTTTTAATGCTGACAGATGCCTTGAAGATAGGGTTATAAGGTTGAGATGTCTACCAATGATTGCTACTATGGCAATATCTGAACAATACTACAACCAAATACATTCGCCTTCTGTATGAATGATTTTCAAAGCATTGATACCACCAGTAGCTTCCCGGGTTGAACCCAGCAGATTTTTTTTTCTCACACATTAATATTATAGTTATACTTTTTTTCCTAATTGATGACAACCATTAATTATTGATGACAACCATTATTTATTGATGACAACCATTAATTATTGATGACAACCATTAATTATTTATAAAAAATGAAGCATTGGTTTGGGATTGTTTGCGATGAAATTTAAAAATGTCTTACATATTACAAGACAATAAAGAATGGCAACTTTAAAATATTGCAACGTCAGCTTAAAAATAAATGCTTGTGGAATGGCCAAGTATTTATGTATCTAACAAACTCTTAAAAAGTAAAGATTATAAAATTTGTTTGTCAAAAATTTTAGTAAAGCTATTATATCTAAGATACGATGAATTCAGATAAGAGCGTCAGCTGTTCTCCAGGTGGACCCTGTAATTAATCAAAGTTATTTTTATTATACTTTAATTAATATTATATAAAAAATGTATAAATATAAAAAACAATAAAAAATAAAAAAAATATAAAAAATTATAAAAAAGTATGGATGCATATGCATCATAATCAGGCTATTCTGGATTGTTAGCTTTCGAAAAAAAGGGAACAGGAAGTTGGCAATAAAAAACACAAACCAAAGGTGGTTATAGTTTTATAGATTTTCTGTATTGTTCCATACCTTTGAAAAGGGTGGAATTAACCTTATCTATAGATAATTGATCTGATTGCAACACATCCAGATTATTTATCTAATAGGTAAATATACAAATCATCTTATCTCAATTATTTAACGTTATTCGTTGTTTTAAAATTGTTTAAATGTTTGCTTTATTTATTTAATTGATAATAACTAATATAATAATCAATTATTATAATAATTAAGTCAGAACTATTTGTTTTTTAATTTTCAACTTCTTTATCTATTTTTTGAAAAAAATATAATAAAGTTTTGCGTGGCTGTAATGTCTAATTAAATTTTTACACTTTTAAAAATAACTTTGAAAAATATTACGTTCAAGTCAGAGTTTCCTTTATATATATATATTTAAACAATTTAAAATGTATTCTACAAAAAGAGTGCTCAATGTTCTTAAAAGAACAGAGCAATTACAAATTAGTAGAAAATCACTTAGCAAAATTTTTTCTCATTTAACACTGTGTTTCATCAATAAAGACTCATCAGAAATGAATGATCAAATTAATAAAACTTCAATTTATACCAAAAATTAAATTACAGGAAGTCACATGTCTTAACTACTGCAATTTTTCACACATTCGTGTAATTTGCTGACACTATTGTAAAAGGAATTCTTTAGAAATGATTACTTAAGCTTTTTTTAAAAAATAGTATATTTTTTTCAAAGGGGAGTTAATGTAACTATTATTTGAGCTCACTTATTTTTATAGCTTTTTAGGAGAAACTTATTTTCGTGCCTGCAATTAGAAATCAATTCCGATTTTTTGTTCAATAAAGATTCTTGGTTTGTATGTGTAATAATTTCAAATTTTTCTTGTAGACATAGTATGCAGACATACTATGTCTACTTTGACGGGGAGACCGGGGCTAGTTGGCAGCAGGGGTAAGTTGAAGAATTGCGTTTATCTGCAAAGTCTTTCATCAAAAAGTGCCAATAATTTTAGGAAACCTTCTTAGTTGACCATTTCATCTTTCACTGTATTATTGTAGGGATTTGCGCATGCGCATAAAAGACATTGTGGTTTATGTGTTTTTTCCACATTTTTGTAACTTTTACAACTTCTTTATTTTTTCGATATTTAAAAGCAATTTCATCAAGTACACGTAAACTTGATTTGAGTTATATCTTGCACGGTTCAGTAAAATCTGTCCAACCATTATTTTTTATTTATATATGTTTTTCAGGAATTGGTAGGGGAGTTTGTGACCAAATAGCTGTCGGGGTTAGTTGGCAAAATTTCGGCGGGGCAAGTTGGCCGTATATATCAAGTAAACCCAGTTGCGATTGGACATAAATTTCAACTTTTTCTGTTACTTTTGATTTATTTTTTTAAAAATCGATTAAATCAAGGACGTATTAATAGATGGACGTTTAACCCATTGTTATAGATCTGAGGCGCCGCAAGTAAACAAAAACCTATGCGAGCTATAATTTTTAGCATCATTTTTCTGAATAATTTATAAAAGTAAACCGACGTTTTTCCGATAATTTCACTTTTTTAACTACTTTTTTTAAAAAGTGCAATAACCTACAAAACTCTAACTTTTTTAAAAAATTAATGCATTTTACTTAATCAGAAATAGCTCATCTGTTTTAAAATGTCAAATTTGATAAGCGAGCGCTTTTTAATAAGAACTTATTATTAATAAAACTTAGACGTCAAAAATCATATCTTTGTAAAAAAGTGATATTTAGTTTGCAAGAATGAATACTGCAAAGTGAAACGAATTTTCTAGATGTTGTAGGTAAAACTGTAAATCATATATAGATCGAACTATATATTACTTGTGGTCTCTATTCCCTACACTTAGTTTTCACTATTATTTTAAGTATTTAAATTTCTAGTTTTTGTCGGAAATTTTGCCTCGCTTACAATTTTGTTTTAATATTTTTCTGTGATTAACTTTTTTTTCCATGTAAATATTTTGCTTGAGTTTATAGATCATATAATGAAAAGGATTTATTTCTTTAAAAACTTTTTAGAGTTTTTAGGTGTAATGGAATGTTTAAATATTTCTAAGGCTAGACGAGACTGTCGCTATTTTGACGTAAAATCAAGTAAAAATATTCTCAAGTTAAAAATAGTTCTCTATTGTTTTGCAATTGTTATTTGTAACAATAAATAGCGCGGATATTTTGGTTTTTAACACATATAACACATACTAATACAATGTGTGTGTGTGTGTGTGTGTGTGTGTGTATAACACATACTAATATATATTAGTATGTGTTACACACACACACACACACACACACACACACACACACACACACACACACACACACACACACACACATTTATATATATATATATACATATATATATATATATACATATATATATAAATATATATACACACACACGTGTGTGTATATATATTTAGTGTTATTTGCTTTAATATTGATATTGTTCATTTAGGTCTTTACTGATTTACAAGAAGGTCTGTTGGAACAATATGTGACTAAAGCTTCTGATATTTATTATGGACTTTCTCCTAAGGAAGTGAGGAAACTAGCTTATCAGTATGGAAAAGCGAATAGCATAAAAATGCCTCATAATTGGAGTGCAAATGAAGCAGCTGGAGAAGACTGGTTCAGTGCTTACCTCAAAAGACACAAAAAACTGTCGATAAGAAAACCTGAGGCAACAAATCAAGCACGTGTTTACAGTTTTAATCCAACAAATGTTTAAAGGTTTTACAACAATTCACAAACTATTCTTAATTGTTTAAAGTTGGAAAGTGGAAATATTTGGAATATGGATGAAACTGGTATTACCACAGTTCAAACTCCAGATCATATTGTAGCAAGAAAGGGTTTTAATCAAATTGGGCGTCTTTTTTTGGATGAGAGAGGCAATTTAGTAACTGTGGCAAAATTGCTAAATTGCCAGTGGAAATTCAGTTCCTCCAGTTTTCATATTTCCTCGTGTGAAATTTAAAAGCTATTTTTTAAATGGTGCTCCTGATGGAAGTGCAGGCGCTGCAAACTCATCTGGTTGGATGACTGAAGTTCAATTTTTGCAGTTTTCCATCATTTTGTCAAATATGCCAGAAGTACAAAAGAACGACTTGTATTGTTGGTATTAGACAATCATGACTCTCATCTTTCAGTAGAGGCTTTATATTACTTTAGGGTTCGGCAAATGCATCTGCGCAGATCTGCGCAGACATAATATGCGCATATCTGCGCAGACGTCGGCGCCGACGTCTGCGAAGACAATTTAAAGGATACGAAAAATTTAAATTATGATAAAAAAATTACTTCAGACATTTGATTCAGATAATTTAATTATCTGAATCAAATGCCTGAAATTAATTATTTTTTTAAATTTAATTTCAGACAATATTTAATAAAATAATTTCAGACATTTTGAAAAACTCGTAAAAAGTAGGTAATTATCTACTTTTTACGAGTTTTTCATTACTTGTCTGTTTCTTTTTTGTTCGAGCTACATATAATCAATCGATATAAACTTTTTAAAGAGTTTCTTACTACAATTTAAAATGATTTAAAATAAAGAAATTGCGTATTTTCGTCATAACAAATGTTTAAAATGGAAAACATCAAAGTTTCGAATTATTTGACAAATCTTGATCGAGGGAAGCGTTCTGGCACTTGTTTAGCATGTAACAAAGCTGTTCAATGGTCGAAGGAACGCCTTGCAGCGCATAAAAGATCAACATGTCAAAACGCCAGTGTCGAGGAAAAAAGATTGTTTTCTAAGCGTAATTATGAATCGTCACATCTGATCAATGACTCTCAGCAACTTCCGTCTACATCTGATTCACCGATGCAGCGTGTACATCCACCGATTAATGAAGAGCTCAAAAATAATATCGACACGAAGCTTGCAAATTTCTTTTACCCTACGGGTATATCATTTCGTTTAGTGGAATCGGAGGTCTTTAAGTATTTTGTGAAGTCGCTCAATCCATCGTACGCATCTGTCATCCCGAAAGCTAAAGCCTTATCAGGATCTCTGCTCGACAAACAATACACAAAATGTTCTATTTATGTAAATGAAATTTTGAATTCTGAAACAAACTTAACACTAATGTCTGACGGCTGGACGAAAATAAGAGGCGATCACATAGTGAATTTTTGTATTAAAGCGCCCGAGCAGAAGCCTTTTTTTTACACCTCGATAAATACATCCGGAATCATTCAAAATTCATCTGCAGTTGCTGCAGCAATCTTAAAAGTTATTGAGAAGATTGGCTCACAAAAATTTACCAGTTTCATAAGCGACAACGCTCCTGTAATGAAATCAGCGTGAAGGATCATCGAGGAGAAATATCCACACATCTCGGCTAGCGGATGCGGCGCTCATGGAGTCAACTTGCTTGTGAAGAACATAGTTTCTACAATTGAGGCCACAAAAACAGTCAAAGATGCAAAGAAAATCATCAAATATGTGAAAAATCATCACATCATGAAAGCAAAGTTTGATGAAAGACGAATTGCAGCAAATATTTCTCTTTCATTGTCCATGCCTATATCTACACGATGGTTTAGTTATTATTAATCAATGAGCAGTCTCCAGCTATCAAAATACGTTCTTATTAAGTTGGTAGACGAAAAAAGTCCATTACTGAAGAAAATTCAACCAAAGAATACATCTGCTGCTGTTATGGCGTTAATAAAATCTAACCCATTTTGGGACCGTCTCTCTAAGCTTGTCAAAAGCATTGAATTTCCTTCCAACGTGATCGGAAAGCTAGAAAGTGATACAGCTCCATTGTCTCTCGTATATGATTACTTTGGTCAAATGTACCATTCATATATGGACGATAAAGACATACAACAAAAAGTGCAATCTCACCTCGATTTTCTCTTTACACCATGTATTGGAATTGCTTTCATATTAACGCGAAAAAATGCCGCAGAAGTATTATATTTAAATGAAGATAAAACCGATTTTATCACTGCTACAGTTGAATTCGTCAAAAAGATCAAACCTGAAATTGCTGCCACTGCTAAGGATGAATTGATTGCTTATATAGGAGAAATTTCTGTGCTGCCTGAGAGAAGAAAGAATACAATATTCAAGATGAACTCGCGAAATTATTGGAACATTATCGGTCGCGATAAATATCCTGCTCTTTATGAAATTGCTAAGCCTATTAACGAAATGATCTGCTCATCGGCTACAGCAAAAAGAGCTTGGTCGACCTTTCGATTTATTCACTCGCGACTAAGAAATCGTCTTACGAATGAGAGAGTTGAAAAGCTAGTATTCTTGTATACCAATAGCGTGCTGACGGACACAAATGACAAGACTGATTACATTCTTGAAAAAGGTGCAATTCTCAATGAAATTGAATGTCAAGAAATCACCGAATAAGCGCCAGCATTATATATTTTTATTACTGTAAGAATCTTTGAAAACTCCTATTGTTACTAATCACTGAATTTATAATAAAGTTAAAAGATTACTTAAAACATTTTTTAAGTTTAAAACTTTTTTTGTTGATTTAAATTGTCAGTAATAATAATTACTGTCAGTAATAATAATTTATTGTCAGTAATATTATTATTACTGACAATAAATTGTCAGTAATAATAATATCTGCGCAGATCTGCGCCGAGAGACGAACCTTAGTATATTTTAGCAGTAATAATAAATTTTGTCGGCGCCGACGTCTGCGCAGACAAATTACAATGTCTGCGCAGATCTGCGCCGACAGTGCGAACCCTAGATTACTTTAAAGAAAATGGGTTTGTTCATTTCCTCCTCATTGCAGTCATAAACTTCAACCACAAGATCGAAGTGTATTTGGACCTTTTAAAAAATACACAAACACAGCTTGCGATGCGTGGATGACAATGCACCCTGGTTCCACAATGTCTATTTACGCCATCAAAAGCAATAGACTATTATCTGTTAAAGCTATAACAGCTATTCTCGGTGAATACAAATTATCAAAGAGTGTCAACATAATTGTGAACACTACGAATGTGAACACAAAAAAAAGTAATGTGATTGTCAAAGACGTTTTACTGAAAAAATATAGCAAGAAACACAATTTATTCAAATCCGCTGAAACAATTTTATTGTTGATTAATTTCTGTATGTTATTGTAGATTCATCTCTAACAGATTGGCAGACCATTGGTTTATTGACCAAATGTACATTGCAGACGATTGTAAGAAGCTAAGTAGCAGCTTGCCTGGTCATGAATAAGCGTTTAACTCAGTGAAAAGGTTTTGAAATCAGGACCCAACAAATATTGTTGTAGTGAATTTGCAGTGGACCTATATTGGCACTTTGAGCGGTTCATTGGAGTTTTGTTCATCGGTTACTTAGTGAACCATTAGTGGTATTCACCATTAGTGGCCAGCTGATAAATTTCCAGCAAGTGATATAGTTGCTAGTCATCAGCAAATCGCTTTTGGCGGCCGCCACTAGTAGTTTACTAAGTAACCTATGAGCAAAACTACGGCGGATAGTTTAAAATGCCTATATAGTCCAATGAAATTCCGCTTTAGAATATTTGTTAGGGAGCCATCGAGACTGGAAATTCGTTTTGACATCTGTAAAAACAAAGACAACCCACAGCTTAGATCTATTTTGCTTTAAAAAGCAAAAGGGTTGTATATTACTCTTTAATTAAGCTGAATACTACACAACATTTTTTCGATATATATATTTATATAAATAATATACCTAGCAAACATTGTTTTGTGGATTTGCAGTAGAGCTATATAGGAGTTTTTCAGCGGTTTATTTGAGTTTTGCTCATTGGTTACTTAGGGTACCACTAGTGACACTCGCTATAAATATAAGCCATTAGTTTTTAAACATCTTAATAGTGTGTAGTCATTGGCTAACCATTTTTGATGGCTGCCACTATTAATCCACTAAGTAACCGATGAGCAAAACTACAGTGGTCTGTTCAAAAACCATATATTGGTCCACTGAAATATATATATATATGTATATATGTATATATATATATATATATATATATATATATATATATATATATATATATATATATATATATATATATATATATATATATATATATATATATATATATATATATATATATATATATACAAATTTATTAGTAATACTATTTCAATACGTAATACTTATACTAAAATATACGCAGCCGTGGGGCAACTATTAGAGTTCTGGCTTAGGATCAAGAGATTTGATGCAGACTCAGACTTGATAAGCAAGATTGGTAATGAGACGTGAACTTCCTTGTTAAATATTCTTCTGCTGTACTCTGCGTAAAGACCGTTAAGTTTTCTTTGAGCACCTTTATAATTGAAATAATAAATTTATGTTTACTAATTAAACTACAAACTAAATAAAAGTTCAAATTTAAAAATTAAATACTTCATTACAATTTTAAATTTGAAAAGAAATATATTGTATATAATATTTGCATATATGCAGAATGAGTATTTTCAACAAATAATTCGCTATTGCAAATGTTAATAATAATAATAATAATAATAATAATAATAATATATATATATATATATATATATATATATATATATATATATATATATATATATATATATATATATATATATATATCGTAATCAAAATAAATTATATAGTAATCAAAATAAATTAATGAATTAAAGTTCCTTCTTCACTACATCTATGCTATGTATTGTGGGTAGATTGGTGAATTATGTATTGTGTGTATGATAGGTGAATTGTGTAACATTGCTGCTTTATGTTACACATCACAGCCACGTTCTTTAAAATTAAAAGTAAAAAGCAATGAACCAGCATTTTTAGTTGCCTCTGCAGCACAACAGATATGGAAATTTTCTTTTATATATTGCAATCTCTTCTATAATAAAAATAAAATAAAATAAAAGTTGCAACCAGGAATTTGTGCAGAAATTATTTTTATATTTATTTTTTATAAAAATAACACGTTTAATTACGAGTTAGCTTTTTAAAAGTCAAAATTCTCTGCTTTATGTAGGATATTTCCTGATTGGTTAATTTTCCCAAACTTATCCTGTTTTTATCATCATATCGTTTTGGTTTGTTATCAAAAAGCTTTTCTATACTATAATTCTTTTCTTTTATTTATTTAGTTTACAAAGATTGTCCAAACTTTTTTTTTTATTAAAGCTGAATGAATACGAATTAAAAATTATCAAATAATTCGTTCAACAATTTCTCAATTTTTTTATGTGTTTCCAATTTATTTGAATGTGATTCCCATAATTGTAAAGCGCCTTTTGGAGTTTGAAAGCTTTTCAGTAAAATCAGCCATGTAGGTAATGAATCTGTTTTCAAATCCTAAAAATTTAATATAAAATAAATACAAATCTTTAATTAATAGAAAAAATAACTATAACTCTATATAATTTTTTATTTATTTTTTCTTTACTATCATTATACATTTTACCATACTGTTAACGTAAAAGATGGTAAGAGCATTTAGAAGGCAATAATCTTATTACCTCCTGACATGTTATGTTTTACAATAGGTCGGGTATATACTCAGAGTTTTGTCAGCTTTAAGTGAATAAAAAGTTTAAGAATTTTGCTTAAGTTTTTTATTCACCTTAAGCTGAGCAATTACTGAGTAAGTTGCTTAAATTTACGTGAATAAAAATTTGAGCAAAACTGATGAAGTTTTTATTCACGTAAAGCTGACCAATTACTGAGTAAAAGCAATTGCTCTTTTTTATTCACCAAGCCTAATTAATCAAGAAAATAATTAGGCAAATATAAGATAATTAAAAAAAGCAAAACTTAAACTATCAATTTTATATAATTATCAACTAACCAAAACAATATATCATAAAAAATAATAAGAAAACAAACCACATTTTTATAGACATGACCATAAACATTTACACGGTACAAACACATGAGATAGTTTCAAGATTAGGTTTGTTTATTTCGCCGTTTAATAACTTTTACAATTTAAAAGTTTATAAATAAAAACGCTGGCGGCGTAAGTAGAAGACGTTATTTTGTCTTATCACCGAGCCCCAATCGTACGTATTCAATAGCCGTATTATATAATACTTTACCAATTATTTATTGAAAATTATAAATGTAAAAATAAATAACAACAAGTTTAAGAAATACTTCAAGAACAATATTCATATTACGAGTAATAATCAAGTAAACAAGAAAAAATCGAAAGAAAAGAAAAAAAGAAAAACAAAAAATAAATAAATTAATTAATGAGCACGTATTTACAAAAGCCTTATTTTATACTATACAACTTATTTATTGAAAAATATAAAAATAAAATATACAACAGTTTATAATAAAGTAATACTTAAGTAAAATAAATAACAATTCATTGATAGTTAAAAAAAAAAAAAAAATTATTCAAGAACTCAGATTATCATAACTGGATTAATGAAAAAAAAGTTGATACATTCTAAAACATACTTTATATAATTAAACTTTAATTATATATGTATAAGATGATTTTCATATTACATATAAGATGAATTTCAAAAATTTCAAAAATTCTTTTAAAACTTCGCTTATAATATATACTAACAAAGATAATTTTTTTAAACATTTTTCAACTGTAATAATATTTATGTAATATAAATATTTATTTAAGACCATAATAAAAAGTTTTTTTTTATACAAATACATACATACTAGGGTAGGCCACAGTACCTCATAAACTTTTTCAGGGGTGTGGAGTCGTAAAAAAAAGTACCTAGTCCGACTACGACTCCAATCGTTGAAATTTTCAGAGCACGACTCCGACTCCAACTCCGACTTCCACTCCAAAGCAAAATTTTTGGAAAGTTTTTTGAGTTGTCTAAAAAATATTGCGCGATAAGTTAAAAAAATTATTTTTTGCTAAATTTATGAAAAGTTCTTTGAGGTTTAGTATGAGTATAAGGTTTATTGAATACTTTGTACATGCACGTACAATACCAAGAAGTTTTATTATTGGAGTCGGAGTCGCGATTTTGTGTAGCATCTCCGACTCTGACTCTGCTAAAAATGTCGCGACTCTGACTCCATAGCCCTGAATTTTTCCAAGAGTCAATTTTACTTGTGTCTGCATCAAATATTGTTCTTTTTACTATAAGAAACATTTTTTGTTTGTAAGTGTTTACACAGCATATCTCTAAGTTCTGCCGAGATTTTAAGTCTGAATTATTTGAATAACGACATAAGCACAAAACTTCCATTACATCTGTTCTGTTTTTTAATTTGTTCTGTTAAATACTTACGAATAATGGTGTATTTCAATTGTTTTTTTATATCAACAAACATTCACGCTTGCTTTTTTTAATTTTACCTCGCTTAAAAATTGTTTTGCAATGCAATGACTTTTTATTCTCAAAAAAACTTGCTTAAAATACTAAATAAGACTTTCTAGTAAACAATATGCTACTCATAGCTTGTATTTTAACAAGTTGTTAAAACTAGATATAACCGCTATTTAAAATAATAATATTATTTTTTTTTTGTAAGAAAGTTAACAATTTTTAAATAGCTGTTACTGAATAAATTTATATTATAATACTAATTGAAGTATCGTTATAAAAAATGAATTCTACAGCGATATTAACTTTTACATTCCTTTTAAAGTAAAAAATCACCACGTTTTAATAGACGATCAGTAGCGTAGCGACAAAAAATTGGCCCCCCCGCAAAAATTTAATCCGGGCCCCTAAATTACTTCTTTTCTATTCCTTCCCCCCCCCCCCACCTTGCTTTTACCTTCCTGTGTAAAATATATGTTTTGTATGTATGTTAAATGATACGCATGTTATTTATTGTACTGACACTTTTTTTTAATTTTTTCTTTGTTGCCTTGGGCCCCTAATAACTCTGGGCCTCCCCGCGGCTGCGGGCCCTGCGGGCCCTTCGCTACGCTACTGTAGACGATATTCAAATTTTTTTAAATTCCGGAATAATAAGAAACTTGAATCTTTCGTGTGTATTTTACACAAAAAAGTAGATATAGAATAAATAAAATAAACAAAAAGCATAAGAAGTAACATTGGATTTTGTTTATATTAGTTTAATTATTTGCTTAATATAGCTACATCACTTTCTTGTGTTGTCATTGGTTGTTCTAATCACTCAACCAAATTTAAAAAGTGGAAAAAAGCTATTTGTGAAATTCATAAATGTTCAAAAGAAGATCCTAATTGCTGCTGTTCTGAACCATTTAAACTTATTACTTTTCTTTTTACTGAAGAAAAAGACCCAGAGCGTCGATCCATTTGAAAAAAACTGATAAATCGGGTAAATTTAGACAAATCTTAATGGGAAGCTTCTAATTACAGTAGAATTTGTTCGGAACATTTTATTCATGAAAAATTTGAATATCCTACAGAACTATTGGAATACAACGCATTAAATAAAATAATAATTTGTTCCTTCTGTTTCATCTAATTGTGATCGACCAATAAATAAACGAAATAACAAAATAATTTCTGATTCATTTTCAATAAAAACAGCCACTATATCCGCCTCTAATTCAAAACAAAATTACTAACTTCAAAACAAAATTATAATGCAACCAACTAAGCCTTTATCTGTATATAAGAAACTTCTATCAAACAGTAATGTAAAGTTCTATACAAATCTTGGTTCTTTAGAGTTATTTAATAAATTGCATGATTTTGTTAGCCCTTATGTTAAAAAACAATTTAATTCTGTTTCTGTTAAAAGAACTGTCAGTGAAACACTAAAAAAAGTAGGACGTGCAAGAAAATTATGTTCACAAGATGAGTTTCTGCTGACTTTAATGAAACTTCGATTAGGATCATTTAACAAAGATCTTGCTAGTCGTTTTTTTTAATATTTCTATTAGCACTTGTTCCAAAATATTTCATTCTTGGAAAAGAACATTAGCAGAAGTTTGTAAGCATCTAATATTTGTACCAGACCTTGGCACGTTAAATGCAACAAGCCCTTTATGATTTAAAAATTATAAAAATTTAGCAGCTATTATTGACTGTTCAGAAATTTTCAGACAAACCCCAAGAAACTTGGAATTGTAAAGTGTTACTTAGTCTGAATATAAACACCACAATACTTTAAAGTTTTTAATAGGTGTTGCTCCTAATTCTTTTATTGTTTTTATCAGGTTATACCAGTCACATTTCCGACAAAGCGTTAATTACGGATTGTGGTTTTCTTGATTTATTATCTTCTTTTTCTATAGACAAAGAGTATAATTTGCATGATGAATGCACTGCTCAACATTTATTTTTTACTGTACCACCTGTTAGCGAAGAATATCACAAATGACACCTTTTGAAGTAAAGAAAACAAGTTCAATTGCTAAAATTAGAATTCTTGTGGAATGGAAGATTAAAAACATTTTGTCTTATAAGTAATGAATTATATAAAATATATATATATATATATATATATATATATATATATATATATATATATATATATATATATATATATATATATATATATATATATATATATATATATATATATATATATATAGTATGTATATATTGTGTGTGTGTAAATATGTGTTTTGTTTGTTTGTAAAATAAAGTAGAATGTAATACTTTTGTTTCACGAATATTATTATATACTACATATTTTGATTTAATCTAAGTCAATCATTAGTTCATCTAAATCTTTAATACTGTGTAAAGTTGTTGAAGTTTCTAATCCATCATCCAGCTATAGGATGATATTTTTATTTATTTACAAACCTATTTTTAGAGAAAAATCTGTATATTTTTAAATATTTTATTCTTGTTTTAAAAGCAAATTTTTAAAAATTGCAAAGTTGTTATTAGATATCTTAATGACTAATTTGTTTATCTTATCACTTATTTCCACTTCGCATTGTTTATATCTACTTTTTAAGTAAAAACGCACGGAAAAATATTTCTCGCCTTCTGATAATATGAATACGCTAATTTAATATTATTATTAGTCGAGTTACGTCATTTTCTAGGCTTTTCTATTTTAAAGTAGTTTCTAGGCTTTTCTATACGCGGTTTTTTTTTTAATTTTATTTACTAACAACGCGTATTACAGGTTGCTTACTGCTAGTTTAAAATTAATTTCGAATATCGTCTATTGTTAATATTTTTCTATTAGTCAAAAAAGTAAAATTTATTTAAAAAAAGGCATCTCTTCAGGGCCGTAAAATTTCTTCGGGACGGCCCTGCATCTCTTATACAAAAGAAATATATATCGGCAAAAACAAAATCTGGCGGAGTCAATAAAAAAGTACACAAAATCATCAGATAAAATTTAGTTAGTTGATTACCCGCTTGAAGATATTAAAACCAGGTCTCTGCCTACGACTCGCAATGTCTACAAGTTCTTTAGGTTTATACATTTTTTAAATTTTTTCAAACTTTAACTGGTGTATTACACACTTTTATATATATATAAAAATAATGTTTATTAATTGAAATTCTGCTTTTGTTTGTTAAGGTATTACTTAAAAATAATGAGCAATTCATTTCAACTTTTTTCCAAATATAAAAAAGAATTAAACATTAAGAGCGATATTTCAAAATTAAAGTTAGCTGCTAAATTAACATTAAAAACTGTTAAAGTATTCTGGGATAAAGCTGATATTCCTTGCAAGCAGGAAAAATACATTGTTGAAAATACTCTAAACCTTTATGAGAAATGGAGAAAGCTTGCAAAGTCTAAACGTAAAAAGTTTTCAAAGAAAAGTTTACTTGTTCAAGATTTCAAAATAATAATGGATGATATTTTTGATATCAGTTCTCCAAAATTGGAAAGATTATGTTAAAAAAACCAGACCATGCAAAGATGCAGAAGAAGATATTGCCTGGTTTGCAGCTCTCAAATGTGGAATTAAAACTGGAGGAATAAGTGGGAGAGATAATTTATTAAAATTGAGATTAAGAAGAAAAAGAAAAATCCAGAATAAATTATGAAAAGAGACGAAAACTCAACAATGAAACTGAATTAAACATTGATAATAGTAGTGACTCAATTGAAGAATGGTTTTTGCTGGGTTTAGAGGGTTTGAGCTCTCTAATTTTCAGAGCTCTTCTAAAACTAATCGTAAAGTAAATACTAGAAAATTATCTATCGAAATCATGGAAGATGTGTCACAAAATATAAATTTAACTTTACCAACAAACTGTATTTGTCAATTAATGATAACAGCAACAGCTGACAGATCTAAATTATTGAATGCACAGCTAATGATGAGTATTTTTACAATCCTGGTTCTAAGTTTTTGTTTTTGTTTTTAAATTGCTTTTATTTTTGATAAGCATAGAAAATTCTAATATATGTTTTTAGGTGGTGTTAAAGCTAAAGAAGTGGAGATTTCAATAAATATAATTAGAAGAGCACGTAAGAAAAATAGGCAAATTATGTCAAGAAGCATAATTTCAGAGTTTAAAACAAAAGTTAAATTATATTATTTAACTCTTCAAAGGGATGGGAAACTCATGGAGCAAATATCTGGTAAAAAGTTCGACTATTTAACTGTTTTAGTAAGTGATTTTCCAAATTGTCCGGAAGGTAAAATTTTATCTATTAAGTCTATTCACTCTGGGACAGGAATTTCTATCTGTAGAGAAATTTTAGAAAGATTTAGAAGAATGGAATTTGAAGAAAAATATTGTTGCCCAAGTTTTTGATACAACGGCTTGTAATACTGGAGTGAGAAACGGAGCGGCAACAATGTCGCTATTATGTTTTAGAACTGATTCTTGGGTCATTTTGGAATGATTTATTTCAAAAGGAGACAACATCTGATGATGATACAGTTTAAAATTTTTAAAAAGGAATGGCTTAACTCTGAAAAATTCCTCTCGAAATTTCGAACCTTTTTCGATCTTGAAAATCCTTTCTTAAAAAAAAAAGCAAACGAAACTCGCAAGATTGTAATACTTTTCAGAGAAAGTATTACAATCTAAGTGTCTGTATTAAATTTATTTTCATTTTACAACATATATATATATATATATATATATATATATATATATATATATATATATATATATATATATATATATATATATATATATATATATATATATATATATATATATATATATATGTTGTAAAAAATCATAAATAAAAAAAAAAAAAAAATAAAGTCAAGTACTTATTAAACATTCTACAGATAATTGAAAAGAGTTATGAGGAAGACTTGTGTAAAACTATGACACGAATGTTGCCTGAACCGCAAGCGCCCTAATAGAGTTTAACTAAAATATGATTTTAAAAACCAAAGTTGGAGTAATTCGGATGTCTAACAACGAGTAAACTTGTTTAACTGGAATGGCAGGAAGAGTATGGCTATTAGATTCAACAGACAAATTTGAGGAACTGTTCTTTGAAAATAGTTCTTCCTTATCTTTGGAAAAATTAAATAGGTCAGATGAATTAGAGAATTACAAATAACAAGGTTATATGAACTGTGCTTATCTGTTTATGGCATCTGTTTTCTTATCTGTTGTCATGGTACAATTATATGATATATACAAATAAATGAATCATATACTATTATATGATGTAAAGGAGCTTTTGAATCTTTTCATGAGATGGATGTTTGTATTTTGTCCTGTAAATCTTCAGAGCATGTTGTCGACATATTTTTGCTAATCAAATAAAATTTTATTGTTATATTTAAATGTATCATGTTGTTATTAGATACTGTTAAAGTTCCTCTTGGAAATATTATCTTAATTTCATATTATAAACAAATTGAAATCGTGTCTACTTTTACGTAAAACTAGAGAGAAAGAAATGAAAATAATTTTGTAGCTTTATTAAATACTTCACATTATATTCAGAATATGGTTGCAATCATGGGTAAATTAAATGATAAAGAAATAGTCGAAAGAGAAAAAAGGATGACAACAATACTTGACAACCAGCTGAGTTTGAGAAAGATTTTTTTATTCGTAAAGTTGCAAATGCATGAAAAAATTTGAACCAATTAAAAAGTATGAAAGATATATTGAAAAAAAATGATCAGTAGCAGTAGCCTCAGACTTTGATCTCAGCCAATTTATATTTCATGTAATTAGATAAATTTGTTTTTAAATTGAATCTGGCTTATCAGGTTTCCAATCTATCTTCGATTTAGCATGTTTAATTATAAATTTATCTTTTGATTATTAAGTTTTAATTCAATTGAAAACTTGAATTAAAACGCAGATTAGCATCTGACTTATTTGAGTTAACAGCTTTTTTCAAGTTGTCTACATATTATCTCCATGTTTCTTTTTTCTGTTCATTTTTTTAAGTAAAACTTTCATATTTGTGTTATCCAGTCTATTATAGATTATGCGTTCTAAAAAATGAGAAACAGAAAACATTCTGAAAATAAATTGCTAACATTTATTTTTTCTTTTTAAAAAAATTATTTTAATCAAGTATTGAAAATAGTTGTCAAAATAAACATTAAAAAAAAGTTTTAGTTTTAATTTATTAAAATCGAAACAATTTAAAAATCGGAAAAATGTCTTTCACATTCACGACGAAAATTCATAATGGAACTACAAACGTGTCGCAAAAGCTACCGGAAATCCTATATCTACTCTTGAAAAGGTTATAAAAAGGTATAAGAAAAATTTATTTATTAAACAAACTAAAGGATCGGGAAGGAAAATCATTTTAAAAAATAAATAAGTATTATTACTTAAACTTGTTGTTTTTTTGAAAGAATTCTAACGCTGCCTTAAAAGTTAAGAGTTTAAAAGTGCAAACGTTTCTGAATTTTTGGAAAGTAAAGAAATACTACAACAAAAAGTGTTTTCAAGCAATTAAATCATTCTACAACACTTAAATCATTCTGACACACAAAATTCTAAAGTTCTTTATATTCAAGAGTGTGTTCAAAAGCGATATTTGCCTCTCATTTGATCACACACAAGATCTAATTTGTTTTGCCCCAGCTTAGTTTTTATGTTGAGGAAAATTTTGGAGTGGTATAAATTAAGAAATTCTACTTTAGTACCAAAAAAGCTCAATACACCAAATTGCCCACAATTATGGCTCATTGAAAAATATTGACGTGTCGAGAAAAAATGTTTGCGTAAAACAGGCAAGACTATTAATTCAGTACAAAATTTGCTGAAGACATGATCAACTATAATCAAGACATGATAAGCAAGAATATAACAATTGTGCAGAAGATAATGGACACCATCACTAGTAATGTAAGAATACATTTTAAAAATAATTTTTTTTTTAAAACTAAACAGTTACATCTTACAGCTGTTACTAAGTGACATCGTTTTAAAAGATATTAATTGTAACTTCTTGTAAGCTACTTTATAACTTCTAGTATTTAAAACTACAAAAAAAAAAAAAAAAAAAAAAAAACAACAGATGAGAGATTAGATTAGATTCTGAATTTTCTAATACTTAAGAATAATTTCATAACTCACTTTAATTGAGTCTGGTTTTGGGATGCAACAAATTGGACAGAAATATGTGCAAGTTGATTTAATATTCTGAGAGCCATCTTTACGCAACACTTTTGCTGCTTCAACTAAAAAAATATTCAGTACCAGAATCATCACAATAGGCGATGCAAAAGACATCTGTTTTATTTGGAATTGTTTATGTGCTGAAATGAATGTATAAACTTATATATATATATATATATATATATATATATATATATATATATATATATATATATATATATATATATATATATATGTATATATATATATATATATATATATATATATATATATATATATATATATATATATATATATATATATATATGTATATATATATATATATATATATATATGTATATATATATATATATATATATATATATATATATATATATATATATATATATATATATATATATATATATATATATATTTATATATATAATTTATGTATATTTACATATATAAATTATGTAAATGTTGTAATTAATCATAAAAACAAATCTATCAAGAAACGCATTGGACTAACTTTGCTCCCATTGAAATGGCAAAAATTGATATAAAGTGTTTAGTTTTACCCAATATTAACGTACAGCAAAGTCGCAAATCTAAAAGGAGCAACACATTTGTAATGCTTTTTTTCCTTAAGCGTATATCAAAAAAAAATTAAGTTATAATTATTTATAACGCGCGATAAAGTAACTGCTTTTCGCAAATCCAATTTTAGTTATAAATTATCTAATATTCAACCGCTATAAAAAACCATTAGGCTAAGCCTGTTAGTGAAAAAGACACTAACAGAACAAAAAACTAACTGAACAAAACGCTAACGGAACAAAAAAAAAAAAAACGAAACAAAACACTAACAGAAAATTAAAGTCTTATTTTAACAAAAAAATAAAAAAACGGTATAAAGCAAACTGCAGGCATAAATTTTCAAAAGAATGATTAAATAAAAAAAAGAATTTTGTATTATAAATAAACAACAAAAACATATAACAAGCATTAAGCCTGGATAAAGGTCCAACAATGATCACAATCTATGGGGGTATAACAAAGCAGCAGAGTATGTTTAAAATTAAACAAATCTAATTTTGTACATCAGTTGAAATATAAATGCTTTGTTATGAGACATGATAAAAAACTAGGCAACGTTGATACATTTTGTACGTTTTCCAATGTAGGGTAGATGATATGGTAGATGGGTAATATGAGCACCTTAAGCAAAAATTGCAATATTTTCAATAATAGTTATGCTGGATCCAAAATTTTTGCGAACAAATAATTTTTAGGGATTCCTACTCATGATCCGCTTAAATATTTGGATACCCGAAATTTTTTTTAAAAACTCAGAGGTTTTAAAAAAGTAGCAATTGTGCTCATATTACCCAGACCACTTGGTAATATGAGCACTTAAAATAAGCTCAAAAAAATAACATTAGGTAAAAAAATACCAACCTGACAATTAGAACTAATTTTTGTAATACAATGGTTTGTTATAATCAAAACTTATCATTAAAAGATAGAATTTTTGTTGAAATAATACTACTATGTTTTCCGCAAAAAAAAAAAAAAAAAAAAAAAAAAAAAAAAATTTTTTTTTTTTTTTTTTTTCAACTTTATTAACGCAGACCTTCGAACGATAAAAATTTAAATAATTTGAACTTAAATTACAGAAAAATATTTATTTTTGTTAAAATAATAAAAAAAATTTATTATGTTTTGTTTTTATTCAAAAAGCAATTAAAACCACTGCTATTTTAGGACTTTAAACTAGGTAATTTCAATAAAGAAAACACTGGGTAGTTTGAGCATGCTCATATTACACAAAAATGCCATCTTTAAATAAAGTCAAAATTAAATGTTTTTATGCATTGTTTTTCAAACAAAAAGGGATTAGATTTTTAGCTAACATATTTTTTTTTATGAAAAAATTAGTTTCATTATTTTAGCACCAAAATTTCGCGCCACAGATTTAACCATGCGTGATGATATTATTTTACCAAGGTGCTCATTTTACCCTATTCTATCGTATCATTCTATCGTATCTATCGTATCATTCTATCGAATTGCAAACAAGCAAAATACTACTTTAAAACTTGTTTAAATATCATTAAATATTAAAAAAAAAAAATTTATTATTTTAAACTAACGCTAAAACGTGGAATTAAGGTACCAAAAGTCAAAACTTGTAAAAGAAACAGCCAAAAAAATGACAACAGAAATTTTGAAAGTATAGATGATAATAATAATAGCTTTGATTTGCTATAAAAGCTCTTCTTTGTTAACTTGAATTAAAATATTACCGAAATTCTAAAGCAACTGCTTGTTTCTAATAGTTACGCAGTTTTTTAGGTTTAAAACAAATGGATTACAAGAAGTTTAAGAGCGGTAAGTTTTTTTTTTTTTTTTTTAAATTTTATAATTACTTTAAATATAATTTCAATTTATCATAAATTATTTATGAGTTTTGTAATAAGAGTCGAGCTCTTATTAAAAAACTCATAAATAATTAGTTATAAATCTTAGTTTTGAATTTATTTAAAATAAAAGCCTACCCATGACGATCTATACTGCAGCTAGACCTGGAGTCAGAAGCGATTCTAGGAATAAAATGAGGGAGGGGGGGGGGTGGATCCTCAAAAAGCACCGACTAGCTTGTATAAAAAAAAAAAGAACCTCAAAACGAAAATTTAACCGACTACCCGGCTAAATTCGTAAAAAAACCGACTTTAACTTAAAAATCGGCCAAAACTAGTAGTAAAATTAATTTACTTAAAGAACTTGATTCCTAAATAAACACGATTTTTAACTTCAATGGGTTCACTTTGTTTCGGTATTAAGACTTATTTTAAGGAGGTTATATTTAATTCTTTTCAGTATTTTGCTATGTCCAGAAGAAATGTAACTAAATGCAAGCAAACTATCGATTGGGAAGAACAATCATGATTTAATAAATCATCAAGAATTGTAATTTGTAAAATAAAAATAAGACAGCATTTTTTAACAGCATTGGTATATCACCCCAGTGACCAAGCATTGTCTGGAGGACGTCCGCTGGACGTCTTATGGACGTCCAGACGTCTAACAGACGTCCCCCGGACGAAGCATGCCCACTGGGACCATGAAAAGTTCTCATTGCTAAGGGAATAGGAAACTATTTTAAGAAATCAAATATCCAGATATTAAATTCAATGATGGATATCAAACAGTATTTAGAGGTTCTAATGATGATAGGTTAGAAAATAATTTGAGTTTTTAAAGTATGGATTTACAGTTAATCAATAAAACTTACACACAAAAAGTTTTATACTGATGAAGGAAAGCAGCACCAATTTAGAAGCGCTATGATATTGAAATGATCTTTAAAAATATTTAGCAGCATATAGTTTTTTTATTTTAAAAATGAACAAAAGGATGCTATAAATATTTAATTTACAAACATTTATCCAAAGTTTCTAAGCAGTCAACTGGCACTGGTGTATTTATAAACATTCAGAGTTTTCCAAACTACTTCTTAATCATTACGCATACAAAATGAATTAGGCCGTGCCTATTGTTAAGTAACCTAAAAAACAAAAAACACTTTTTCCTTTTTTAAGAGCTAAAATGTACAACGGGTTGCGATCAGATATTTGAAACACTTTAGAACTTACTTTATTTAAAACCAAATTAAACAATCGTTTCTTTTAGTATTTTTCTTTTTAAAGAAACTTGTGTAAGTAAAAGTAACCTTTTAGCTCTTATCCATTCTCTTATCCATTCACTATTTTTATTGCTTTTAACTTTATATATATTTTGCTAGTTTTTACTAATTTTTGAACTTTTTTATCTTTTCCACTCATATTTATTTATTTCTATTATTTTTATTATAACTCTTTATACTTTAGTTTTTAAACACGAAACATATTGAAAACAGCTTTCAGAACTATAGGTGTATATCCTGTATATAAATACTTTAAAAATTAATAAATAAATTTATAGGCGGCTTGCTCTTTTTTGTTTTTTATAAATACGTTTTGACGGATTGCTTGCTTGCTCAGACAATGTTACATTACTACGGCTATGTTACATTAATACGGCTATGGTTAAATTATAGATTTTGGATTAAAAGTAGATTAATAATATAGATAAATAAAAATATTTTTATCTTGTCTTATACATAGTACCAATACTTTTTGACATTTTTTTCTTATAAGATTTTAAAAATACTGCACTTGTTACTAGTGTATCATGATCTTTTTTTTCTTTTCCGATCACTTAATTTATTATACAGTTATGTTTTATCTAGGCAAAAAAAATAAATAGCACTAGCATTTTTTTTGTAAATTGTATAAAATGATTTAAAAATCGTAGGTAATTTTTTTTTTGAAAGGAAAAAACTATCAGTTATTTGAAATTAGCAGAATAATGAAGCATTGTATTTTCAAATATAAATTGTCAAATATAAGTTCATATGAAATAGAATAATCAACTGCTTATATTCGTTAAATATTTTCTTAAAAATTCAATTTTTTGAATTACATTTCAATATTTCGTTGGGTTTCCTTTTGCAAGAATAACTGCTTGCAGACGTGGAGGCATCTGTTCCACCAGAAGCATCACCACTCCCTGTTCCACCAGGGATTTCGCTTACTCTGGAGTTTTTTCCCCAATGGTTATGGCTATTATGAGCCATAATCGTTGGAAATTGTTGGAAAAACTATGGTTTCTATGGCTGCTTTTAGATCACTATGGTTGCTTTTAGATCACTATGGTTACTTTTAGATCATTTTTTGTAAGCACGATCTTCAATTGTCTTGTTAAAACACGAAATTATTTCTGAATCAAAATTTACGAGCAGAAGTCTTTAAATTTTGCTTTAAAATGAATTGGGTACGAATTGGGTTTCATAGTTAATTCAATAATTTCATAGTTAAGTCAATTTGCTAGCTACTTGTCAAGCTAACGATCCCCGCATTTCCACCATGTTTTAATGCTCTTCTCATTCAATTTAATTTGTTTGTTTTGCTTTGTTTTCGCCAGATGTTTTAACGCCCATCTGATGTGATCGGGTTAAATTTAAATTCATCATTCCAAATTACTTTCTTCCAGTACTCGGTCGAGATGTCCACATACTTTTTCCCAAATAATAATCGTTCATATGTCTTAGAATCAAATAAGTTTTTTTGTACCATACTCTTTCGTGAAGCCCTTGCTCTCGGATTCCACTTCAGAGAATTTGGCCTAAATTGATTTTGTAGTCTTTTTGATGAATCGATTTTTTTGAATTGATTTTATTTTAATGAATTGATTTTGATGAATGATTTTTAAGTCTTTTCAAACTTTTTTTTTCAATCTTTTAAGCAGCTTCAAATCTATTTTGTTTGACTTGTATAATAATGTTTCGATCAAAATAAAAGTTTCAATGTGAAGGTTAGTCTACTTGTCTGGGATAGCATCCAGTAATTGAGTTGTTTCCAGTTTCTTATAAGAAAATAGCTTCTAAAAGCCTAAATATTATGTTCATTAATTTCCGAAGGTACTTTGCTGTTTTTCTTTCAGATATCATCTGAAATATTTTATGTTATAAAATTATTAGAAAAATGCTAATGTATAATACGTTATAAAGATTAGAAAATGATAATATATTATTTTATAAAATTTAAAAAAAAACATAAAATTTTTTATGATTCCGCTTTGATTGTTTCAAATTGTAAGGTTGTGAATAAAATAATAATGTCGATGAGAGATTCTGCTTAAAAAGTGAGTTGAATTGGCTTGTTAATGAAGGGAAGAATGTTGAATTGAAAGAGAGTTTAATTATTGAAAACAGGTATCTTTTTGTTGCTGTTCATAAAATAAGATTTGTTTAAATTAAGGTCCTTGGTGGACATTTTCATTAAACTTTCATTTATTTGTTCATCTAAACGTGGAAAAAAATCTCTGCGCTATAAAGCCAACAACCTTTTACTTTATTTGTTTAGATCTTTTACTTTTATTAGTAAAATAAGCTTTAACCCATCAACCTGAGATAAAATATTTGACAATCAACAAGATTTAAACCTTTTATTTCTCCTGACACAATATGGCACTTGTATTCATATCTGATTTTTAAACTAGTAAAGATAATGAGCTATCAGAAAACAAGCTGCTTGAAGATACAACCTAGTACCTAGTACCACAAAAAAAGTGCACGAAGCATTAACTTAATCAACCGTTGAGGACAAAATATAGACTCACTTAATCCTTGTGGAAAAAACATAGAACCGGTTAACCATTGTGGACCAGGTATTCTCAACCAATATGTAAGATTTTTTTATTTTTATTACCTTAACATTTCGAGTATGCTGAGTATCATTGAGAACTAATTAAGACTTCAGAGCTTTTTAACTATAAGATAAAGCGATATTGCAGAATGATTTTTTTTAAATATTTTTTTCTGATTAGATTTAACAATTTAACAAAGACCTCGGCAGCTTTTTGTTTAAGAAAGCATGTTTATAATTTTATCAATGGAGAATGTTTTCTTTAAAACTATTTTGTGTGTGTGTGTCTGTGCGTGCGTGTGTGTGAATGTTTAATTAAAAAGAAATTCGTTTTCAATAATTAAAAACATTTTTACAAACAATTTGATTAAAAACGTACTTCTTAAAAGTAGTATTTATAAATAATAATAAAAAAACCACAAATATTAACTATAAGGCAAACAAAAAACAAAAAATAAAAGCCTATTCTTCAAAAAACAAAACTTTTCATATCAGATCGATACCTAAAACATGTCAGAAACAGTAATTTGTTGAGCTCACCATTTTTTATTAGTAGAAAATTAAGAACTCACTGCTAATTATCATGCAGTAATTATCAATACTTGAGTAACCAAGAAACAAAAAAAGTATTCATCAATACTTGAGTAATCAAGAAACAAAAAAAGTTATTTTTTCACCAATATCCTTTTGATACGAGTTTGAATAAAAAAAGATCTTCATGAATAATAAATAATATGACGTTTAAATAAAATTTTCTAATATTATAAATTCCAAAAAAACAAGTTACAAATATTATTAATGCTAAAAACTATTTTCTTTGAGCACAAAATTAAAGATTACATAAGAATGCATTAGTGTGTTAATGTCAACGTAAAATTTTTTTTTAAATAAGAGATTAGCGATGGCGTCAAATTTACGTAAAATAAAAAACTCGTGGACCTAAACATGTTATCGAGAATGCAAGTGTATTTTCATTTATACAACAGTTGCTTCAATATAAGTTAGATTAACAAAACTGTCAATCTCATTTTTCTGATTAATTAGTTAAAAATGTGAATTAGATATATTGGCACGTCTAGATACTAATCAACTTGTATATGAAGTTCCCAGTTGCTCATTTGTAAATTACGTGTTGTATTTATTAATAAGATTTTACCAGTGGTTTAATGTTCAGTACTAAAGTTGGTTTTATTATAATTAATTTGATTCTATCATGAATAATTTTTTTTTATTGCTATCATGACTAGAGATTGCTAATTTTTAAGTTATCGAAACTGGTTTAAAAATACCTCAAGTAGACATTGTAGTTTCAATTATACTCTATACTAATACTCGAATAGATTTAAAAAATAGCAACAGGCATACAGAGGATACAGAGGAGTAGTTAACTATCCTACTCAGCAATCATTGTTTTAGTAGATTTAAAGTGAATCTCATTGGTTACTTAGTGAACGTGCTCATTGGTTACTTAGTGGACCAATAGTGGCAGCCGCTGTAAATAGCAAGTCTATAACTTTCCAACTTGAGCAAAACTACAATAGACCGCTCAAATGTCAATATAAGTCCACTGAATATCCGCTATAGAATGTTTGCTTGGTAGTTATTTTAGGTAGCATACTAAATAAAGTAATACACGAGTTATAGAAATTATAATAGAAGAAAGCTAGTAAAATCTTTTAAAAAAAAACTTTTTCGCTTATTTTTGGCAAAGTTGTATTTTTTAATAGAATTACAACCTTTTAATTTTATCTTTTTATGTCTCATTAGTTTTACTTCCAACTTTTTAACGGGAAACTTTTAAACATTCAGAAGACGTTTAAGAGACGTTTAGAACGTAACTTTTAAACAAATAAATATATAAAATAAAAACAATCAAACAAACAAACAAACAAAAAAAAAATAAAAACAAACAAACAAATAACTAGATAAATTTAAAAATAAATACAAATAAATAAACACATTGCTATTTGATAAACAGTGTAAAGATCATTCAAAAAAGTGTTTTTGCTAAACAATTTACTAATGCAAGTTAATCACTTTAATTGTTTTGTTTGTACTTTAAATTTAAAAAAGTTTAAGAAACTACCCAGTAAACATTCTATGGAAAATATTCAGTGGACCTATATAGGCATTTTGAAAGGTCCACAGGAATTTTGCTCGTCGGTTACTTGATGGATCTTTAGTGACAGCCGTTAAATATGGCTAGCCAATGACTAGCCGCCATTAGCATTTTGGAAAGTTATCGGCTGTCCATTTATAGCGGCTTCCACTAATGGTCAACTAAGTCACCGATGAGCAAAAATCAAATGAACTGCTCAAACTTGTCTATATAGGTTTGCTGCAAATCCACTAAGACAACATTTGCTGGGTATTCCATAACCTTCTATTTTAATTTTTTAATAGACATTGCTGAAGGTTTGACATGATGTTATTTGATGGATTAGTGACAAATTTCTTTAAATGATTATGTGGGTAGTGCCTAAGTATTGCTAAGTACAGGCAATTAAAATGTAACAAAAAAATTAAACTAAATATAGGAAAAAGGTATAAGCTAAGTTTCACTTTCTTGATCATTGATGTAAGTGATTCAACACTTTTAATAATTTATGTCATTAAATCGATATCAATATTTTACTTTTTTAAATTTATTAAGTAAAATAAATAAGAAGTTTTAAACCCTACGGAATTGTTAGAAAATGCGGGGGGAGGGGGGTTTCGGAATTGTTAGTATATACTTTTCTTGTTTCAAAATTTAATTAAAATCACAAAAATCTTATAAATAAATTGGACTAATCTCTTCACATTGCGAATCGCATCTAATTTTATGCCTAAACTAAATTGTATTAGTTACAATCAAATTAAAATATAAAGTTATAACTTTTTTTTTGCAACCTACAAAATATGTACTGAATTAATTTGCCATTAATTTTTAAATTAATTAACGCACTTTTGTCTGTGTAAAGCAACTTTTAAAGAGTTAATTAATAAAAATCCGCAAAAATTAAAAACTGTTAGAGAGTTTAATGGATCTCTTAAAAGACGTTATTTATTTTAATAATTTAAAAAGATTTTTATTGATTCAATTTCAAAAGTAAAATTAAATTTATTGACAAAAGTATATGTTGAATTAAAAATAAAAGTCAATGTTGAATTAAAAAAAATTAACTAAATTTAGTTCATTATTCTTTTGCTCACAGATTAAAAAGACTTTTGATTTAACATTTTAAAATTAAGTAATTAATTTGGTTTTATGTTTACCAAATCAATAGATTTTTCCGTAACAACGCCATAGCAACCGATTTATAAGTATAATAAAAAGTTTGCGAAACGATTCCTTTTTAAAATAATAACGCAAACGAGCTGAAATTTTGACATTTTGTTTTTAGTAATAGTAAAATTCATTTTAGAGAAGGTATTTGTTTAAGGCATTTTAGTTCCTAAAATTTTATCTTGTTTGGCTAAAAAATTTCTTGTTTGGCTCGTCTATTTTTTAGAGTTTGTTACTTTTTTTTTTTTTGTATCATTTTTAAAATATTTTTTTTTTCTTATTTATTTTCTTTTAAATGTTTAAAATGTTTAAAATTTGTTCAAAACTTTATGTTATGTAAAAATGACAGATATTTTTTGAGTAAGATTTTTACAAAAATTTGGTTGTTTTCATTTTTAAATTGGGTAATCGAGGCAAAGATTTTTTTAAAAATGTATAATTAAAAAAAAAAAATTTAATGACGTATTTACGGTTTAAAAAGGAAATTTTACAATTAGTTGCAATAATTTTTTTTTATATTTCTTGGCGTATATTTCATACTTAACCATAACCTATATTTTTGGAAGTGTTCTTATTTCGTTTTAACATATTTTATTATTAGGCTACCGAAAAACAGAAAATGTTTTGGTCGGAGTCAGCTACACTGTTATGCCGAGCCAGAAGAAAGCAAGTCTATAGTTAAACAAAAAATAAATATGTTTTGGTTTAAATCTTAGAAGCAAGTCATAAAAAATGGTAAATACGAACTGGGCTTATCGTACATAGTTTTACAGTGAAATCAGTGTAAAAAGAATTAAGGAATCGACTTGTCAAAGAAATCAACTAAAATATTGTTTTTTATTTTTTCAAAGTTACTTGCTTCCTTTCTGTCTTTGCAGGGTAATATAGTTGCTCAATGCTCTTATCTTATAAGTATTCTTATGGTCTTCGATTTTTTGTGACAAAATAGTATTTACTTATTTGTGATAAACAGTAATAACTTCTTTGATATGTAAATGGTACCTTTCTCTTATATATGTATATTTTGCCGCAATATATTTTGAAAAACAATGCTTTATTTTCAACAATAAAAAGCCTACCTGCTGTATATATCCGATGCATTGTGTTACCTTTTTTTGTTAATCAAAAAGTATTGAGCGAAATACTTCTGTACTACATTGCGTAATATAGATTGAGCATGTAATAGCGTTAACAATGGAGTCATATATGAAATAGCAATAGAATGAATGCAAAAGCATTATTTAATGCTGGTAGCAGATTAGCAGTAATAAGAGCATTAATAACAATAATCTCAATTTTTCAAAATGTTATTTATATACACTAGCGGACTGGCAAATTTAAGAGGCACGGGAAAACCCAAGTAGACCGAGCCAAAATAAATAAATAAACAAAAAAAGTTAGGTGCAAACTCAGATTTATTTTTTTGCTACCCAGATTTTTTCACTCAATTTATTTATTATGTATAATGCCCGTATGTAAAAAAATTAATTTTTTTTTCTGTATTCTGTTTTAATACCATAAGCATCAAAAACTGCATACTGTCTGGTGACATCAAAAGTCAAAAAAAAAAAAAAAGTTTTCTGTCAAGGTCTTTTAAAGCTTATTTTAATTTTGAAATTTTTTAATTTTGTAATTGCATAAATAATTTGGCTTTTTAAGATTTATTTGGGTTCACAATGAATCGAGCACTTTTGTTAAAAAGTCCATCACAACAACGAAAGTTAACAAAAACTTAATTTTATTAATGGTAAAACAATATTAATTGAATTTTCATGTACAGGTAGGCCCGAATACCACATGACACTTTTTTTTAATCATACTTCTTTACACAAAGAATTTCACTTTTTTTTTTTTGGCATTTTTTGTACTTTTTCTAAATTTTTTTCCCGGGTTTGGAAGTATTTTATTTTACGCTTTTTTATTTTTAAAGTATATTTTAGTAGGGATCGTAAAAAACTATATGCTTTAAATTGTTAATAACATTTTAAAAATTTGCTAAAAATTGTCCATATATTTCATAAGCTTTGTATAATATATTTAACTTCATATAGTACTTTGATTGCAATCTTATATTTTATAGAAATACCTAAGGCAGAATGAAAACCACACGACTGAGACCCCAAAAACAATATAAAAAAAATCTAAGAGAGAATGTAAAAATCAAGTAGTATAAATTTTTATAGGGATAAAATGCAACCACAAAGTTAGAGCTTATTTTAATTCTAAAATACTTAATTGAGTTTACAGGATTTTCTTCTCACTAATCTAAATAATCTAAATTTTAACTTTTGATTAATTTTAATTATTCTTTGATTTATTGGATTAGAATACAACCAGTTCAGTTTACTTACATTCGAGAGAAAAATTATTCAAACAAAACGACTGAACTAGATTAGTAAGATCATGGTTAATATGGTTGCTAAATTTTTTTAAACATTTGTTGAAAATGAACAAGTTAGCATTATCGGCAAAATGGTGAGCCGTTTAAAAGTTAATGGAGTTATTGAGGTCATTAACGTAAAGGAGAAAAAGTATTGGTTCTAATATCCAGCCTTGAGGAACACCATTAGAACATTTTATTTGAACAGATTTTGAGTAATTAAAGGAAATAAACTGCTGTCTGTTGTAAATTTAGAAATTAAATCATTTAACATATATTTCTCTGATTTCGAGTTGGTCGTTAGACATATCAGTTGTGGATTCTTTTTTTGTGATATGACTTTAGCAACTTTAGATGCATCTGAGGATGAACTATTTTAATATCCATATTTATACTGATAAACTTAGTAATCTGGAATAAGTTTGAGAAGAAAGTAAAAAGACTATTAAGACAAAAGCTTTTTTCAGCTCTAAGTGTAGCTTTAATGAGATAAGAGATTTCATTCTTTGAGTCTTAAAATTAAAGGTCAGTAAATTTGGATGTCAAAGGTATGATTTTGTTTTGTAGTTTGTTTTATATAGAAGCAAAAAAGCTATTAAGTACATACGATATAGCAGTCGACTCTGTTAACTATGATAGTTATGATAATTTTTTGAATTTAAGCTTGAGAGTTGAACTCGTCTGCAAAAATTTTATAGCGGATTTTCAGTAGACCTATATAGTTATTTTAAACGGTCTCCTGCAGTTTTGCTTATCAGTTACTTAGTTGAACATTTGTGACAGCAGCAAAAAGTAACAAGCCGATGACTAAACACGGGACGACTGAATGAGCGAATTTCATAAGTGCAAACTAACCATGGCCGCCGAGAAGGGGGGCGAAAGGGACAGTTTGTCCCGCGCGGAAGAAATCCAAGAGACACCAAGTAAAAAGGAGGTGCCTAAAAAAAAAAAAATGCTTTATGTATAATATAGAGGAATTTTGATAAATAAAGGCACCAATCAGGATAGATGTTCCAGGCGTCGTGACGGCTCTTGGCGGTCCTGAAACTAACACAAGTGTGCATGGCGTATGTGCGAACTAGCGTAACTGCAAACTTGCATAACTGCAAACTGGCATAAGTGCAATGCAGCTGCAAAAACTGACACAAATATGAACTGACATAGATGTTCGCATATATACCAGTTACAAAAACTCGTATAAGTCCGAACTGGCATGCTTATTTGCACTTATGCTAGTGCGCACTTATATTAGTTTTTGCATTATGGGAGTTTGCACTTATGAAATTCGTAATTATTCAGCTTCCCGCTAGACACTATTAACACGCTGAAAAGTTATCGGTTGGCCATTTATAGGGGCTGCCACAAATGAAACTAAGAAACCGATGAGCAAAACTCCATTGAACCGCTAAAAATGCTTGTATAGGTCGACTGCAAATCCACTAAAACAATATTTGCTGAATATAGTAGAAAAGTTTAATATAAATAATTTCTTTTATCCATTTCCAAGTATTCTTGATAATGTTTAGGTTAATTTTTCTTTAAAAGGTTGTATAATATGATTTTTTACGAAGTTTTAACAGATAAATTTTAATACATTATTAAATAAGATCATTTTTAGAGCTAATATTATTGCATTTTATATACGTTTTATTAAGTCTGTTTTTAATCGAAACCAATTTTGATTCATCGTTTTGATTTAAGTTTAATTTGCTGCATAGTTTGAAAACTATGCAACAAATTAAACCGCCTTACACTACTTCTGTAGGGAATGTTCAAAAAGAAAAAAAGTCATAAAATTATACAAATATAATTAAGTCATGAAATATTTTATTTACATTAAATACAATCATAAATGTTTATAAAATCTGTTTTGCTTTTTTTAGTTTCAAAGCTTCCTTTCGGGCTTTTTCTTTTGTTGGATGTCATATTTTCTCTATGCAGCATCCAGCAGTTGTCGCCCATTATATTTAAATCCCCTTGACCTTGATACCTTCTCTCCCTTTTTTTGTGAATTTTGTGAAACCTCTTACCTTGCTCTTCACTAACTGCACCAAAATTTTCCGAAAAGTAACCCGAATTGGAGATCAAAAAATGGAGTTTAAAATACATTGAGCAGCCCACATTTTTAAAATTGCGCAAAATATTTTTTAAAATATTTTTAAAGTCCGGGTCAATCTGATTCCCTAGAAACTTCATAACTACACCTTTAAAACAATTCCTGAGTGGCGCGCCGAAGAAAAACGTTTGAGCAACAGCTTGCATTTTTCCACTCTTACTTTCTTCATATTGTCTGTGAGAAGATGAGCTTTTTGAATCTTGTATGGAATAATGGTTTTAGCTTATCCTTGCATATTTTTCTCAGAGATTCACGATCTATTTGCAAATCATTTGCCATTTTTCTCATCGACCTCCTCGTATTTTGACAAATTCTATCACGCACTTTTTTGATAATAATTTTGCTACTTGATGTCGGTGGTCCTCCACTTCTAGGCTTGTCTTGGGTGCTGCTTGTCTCCTTTAAACATTTCAAATTGTTGTATACAGTTCTTCGAGGAATTTTAAGTCTTTTTGCTATCTCTGCTCCAGTGCATCCACTAAAGAACAAATGCTTTTTAGAAACTCGATAGTCTTTTGTGACTTTCATACTAAAAATAAAAGAGATTTAAATTTAAAAAATGCCTGAATACGATTAAGAATTGACATAGGAATGAAATGGAAAGAAAAATATTGACAACTAATACATTTTCTTAAGTCTAATAAACTAATAAAAATGAGTGCCAGAACTTTCTGGTCACCCTGTATATAAAATACAACAGTTCATTATCAATTACATTAAAGCAAACATTTTACAAATTAGTAATATTTAATACTTCACTAATGCAGTGGCGGATTAAGCACACGAAGGACCTGAGGCCAATAATTCTGCGGGGTCCTTATAAAGTAAATTAGTTTAATACCTGGATGTTGCTGTTTTTGTTGTTATTTTTATCCATGGTGTATCGTTTATTTTAGACTACAATATTATAAAGAACTCCAAAATTAAGTTAGTTCTTAGGTTTCCTTTGACACCATTTTTCTCGCTTTCTTTAAAGCAAATGTTTCAACCTCTTCATCGAAATTTATTTCATTCAAAATTTCACGCTCAACTGACATCAGTGACAGATTATTTAATCTATTATGTGTGATTGTTGATCTCAGTTCATTTTTAGAAAAACTTTTTTCTCCCGTAAAATTGAACATCATCAGACTCAGATAAATACGAAATGTAATTTCGACATTGGAAATGCTTCCTTCAGTCCATGGTCTATTATCAACTTGTAAACTAATAACTCTTTACTGTAATCTTCGTCCTTATACTGTTCAGCAAATTAGCGAATTGAATTTTTAGATAGGCGGAAAAATTTTATAAATTTTAAAAAATTTAATAAATGTGCAAAACACGGTACAAATGTAGCGTGTGGATTCACTTTTTTAATATTAGCTAGAACTCCATTATATCGACCAGACATATTTAAGGCATTGTCATAGGTCTGACCACGACAGTTATCGATATCTATTCCATTATTATCTAAATAATACAGCAGTACATATGCTAATTCTTGACCAGTATGAGTTTGTAAATTAATAAATGTTAAGAGCCTTTCTATAGGTATAGTTTTATTTTCTTATATCAACTTACCGAACTGTAACAGACAGTTGGTCAACGTGTGATATATCAGGTGTTGAGTTAATTAAAACACTGTAATATTTTGCTTCCTTCATTTCATTAACTATAAAAGTTAGCATTGCTTGACCTATTAAAGCAGTAAGTTCTTC